GTGGGTGTGGGTGTGGGTGTGGGTGTGGGTGTGGGTGTGGGTGAGAGTGTGGGTGTGGGTGTTGCTGAAGAGAAGAATCACACCCATAGCCCACACCCACATCCATGCCCGCCTACACCCGAATTTCGAACTGAAACTTTGTGTATATTGAGGACCCAATGAGAGTAATCTATGATAAAAGTTTCAGATCTCTTGGTTCGACTTTAACTGAGATATGGATATGAGAAAAATTAGACGGACTATATACTCTATCGTATGATTTCGTTACAAAAATAAATGTTTCACCACATTTCACAGACAATTTTAAATGAACTGAAATTTTTAATTTAGAGATTTCTCGACATGGGCTTTCATACGAAACACTTGAATCAAACATTTCGAAATAAATCACTAATCTTCATAGTGAGCGTTGGGTCCCAAAGTTTGCCTTTCCACTTTTGATCAAAAAATTTTTACTACCAAAATTTTATACCACAAACTTTTGAGGACCTTAGTCGATACATTTTGATGTGCTCTTTCAAATGAGACCGCTATCAATTTATTCTATTGCACTAATTCGACTAACTTGCTGTATCCACGCCAGGATGCTTTTTGAAAATACTATATAATGCGAAGCAAAAATTATCTAATGATGAGATGTTTTTATTACTATAAAAATATACCCCATCATCGATACTAAATATACTTAAAAAGTCTCGGTTATATCTCTTGTTTTTCTCAAGGAAATGGAAATTAACTGAAAAGTATTGCACTACAAAGTATTTCAAATGAGATCCGTCCCCTTCTACATGCGATACCTATATCTTCAGAACGCGTCATCCGTTTGAGCTAAAATTTTCAGTTTCTTCCTAGGTCTGTTAAGCCCACTTACTATAAAAATATCAGTCAAATCGGTGAGATCGATTGAGCAACGTTGGCCGTGACTTACGTGCAATGTCTTCTAGATAGTATTTCCTATTAATAGGTGCTAGTACAAACAACAGTCGGTGCAAATCCTTCAATAGTGTATTGGTTTTGTGACATGCCTTGAAAAGTGATTAAACTATTCCAGTCGTGTGGAATAGTCGAAACTTCATGTCATGGGAATGATACTCTCCATAAGCTAAATAAATGTGATCGCAGACAGATTACTCACTTGGTGATTGGTCGCACAAATATATATTCTTCTCCCTCAATTCATCGCTCACAAAAGGACGCTGTATGTTGTTTGATGCTTCCATAACTTCTCTTTTAACATCGCGTAGAATCATCGCAATGTCTTCATTGGGAGTTGTTATGTACTTCAGTAGATATTTTGTAAATAGGCCGTTTCCTCCTTTTGGTCCATCCCATACTTCGTCTCCCGGAGCACAAGCAAAAGCTATCAATGACCCAGCCTTGTGCATAGGCTTGAAGTCAGCAGGTATGAAATCACCTGGACCCCGATGTCGTGCTTCTAACTCCCTATTACGTAGGTGGTAGTTCCTACAGCAATCCAGTAGGAAGATTATTACAAATGGGCCTTGGTTACTTAAACGATCGAGAATGTCTTGAGCATTAATCGCACTTTTGTTCAAGTTTACACCATACATTTGAGGAATATCTTTTGGCCACAAATAATTTTGGTCCTAAAAGAGCGCACACCAAAATTTATTTCGCAAACCAGATAAGCTTCACATATAAAATGCAAAAACTTACTTCCCATTGTATTCCATGTCCGGCAAAATAAAACAGGACCATAGCGCCATGCTTAATTGAATGTTCAAAATCTACTAGAGTATGCATCATCTGTTGACGCGTTGGATCTAACATGACTGTAACTTGAAAACCAATGCTTTCGAGCGCAGATGACATGGCTTGTGCGTCACGGTTAGGGTTAGGCAATCGGTACACGTATTGATATTCACTAACCCCAATAACAAGTGCTAATTTCCTTCGTTCTCTATTTGTCGTTGTAGCCATAACGAACATTAAACCGAATCTGAAAAACGTGACTATCCTCTGAATCAATCATTAGACAGACAACACACACAATACCACCGAATACAAGAACTTCCAAAAGTTGTTAAAAATTTGATCAGATATAAGTCCTTACTTCACAGTGGGAAGCCAGGCAGGGTGTGGGTGTGGGTGGTATTAGTTGATCGTCCACACCCACACCCACACCCGCATATGGATGTGGCCAATCGGCTTGATATCCTAAGATTTATTTGCTCATGTAGCTGGTATCAGTTATCAGAAAAATGTGAATTTTTTTAGCAGTTATAAATTGCAGATAATGC